TGGGGCTACCGTTGTGGCCCTCAACAACTCACCAAAACTCATTAAGCAGCACTCCAGCCAAAATAATTGCCCACCCCTGGCTTATACTTGTTTTGCTATGAAACCAATATGATTTATTGACATGCTGAGCTATATTAGACATCTTCAAAATATAATCTTAAAATCTAGCTGAGAATTGAAGACCTTGTGCAATAAAGACAAACACTTTTTTGTTTGTTTGTTTTAAAAGCTTCCTTGTATGAGGAATTTACCAGTTGAAAGAGGCACTGGCACTTGGTGTTATTTTTAGTTTGGCCTTTACTGTGAGCCTTTACATCTGTGTCATTTCCACAGCTTTAGATTTTAACTTGGGTGGCATTTTCAAAATCCATCTCCTTTTCTGATCAGACTGCCAAAGCTCTTGTTGAGGCTTTCATCACTTTGATTGTTGTAATCTAGTTGGCTTTTACTACTGCAGCTTCAAATCAATTCAAAACTTTGCTGCCAAAATCATCTCCCTCACTTGTTGATTTGTCATTCACTTCTTCAGGTTATTTTATTGGCAGCTTCTTCACCACGGATCAGATTTCTAATACTTTAATTCGAAGCTTTCCCCACGCTCAGCTCAGCGTTATCTCAGCTCACTTGTTTTATGATCCTCCTTCATTGCAGTGAGGCTTGTCACTGCTCCCTTTTACCTTTTCCTGTGCAGCCTCTTTTGTGCTGATTGCTCTCCTGAAATCAATGTTGACTTCACAACCCTTTCTTTAGGTCCCTTTTTGAGATGGTGTTTCTTAGGATGCCCCCCAGTAAACTTCATGATGATATTGGCTGGGTACATGGTTTCTAAGTAGACTTCCATTTGTGGAAAAAAAAGACATGTTTTTGAATTGTACACTTAATTAAGAAGAAATATATAATCTCTTATGTTACTCTGACTGTCATCTGTATATTCCCATTAGTTTTACTCTTTGTGCTGTATCTTGACCCAATTTAAAATTAAACTATCCTGCAGTAGGTGCTGTGTTTTGCTGCGCATTTGTATAGTGCCCTGGACAGTCCATACTTCAGCCTTTAAACATTACAATAATACAACAGATTAAAAAGGTTTCCTTTAAAAATGCATATATTTGGAAATTAATCTTCATCTGCTACTGAAAATGAGCAACATAGGCAGTCTGACTATTTAACATAGCAACATTAAAGAAGCTTTTTACATAGCTGTGGGGCTGTCTAATTAGCTAATGAATTCTCTTGCTTTTTATCATAACTGCCAACTACAAAATGAAGTAATGTGTAGCCAACTAAAAAGCATTATTCAGCTTTACCGTTCCTTATCTAATTTTTTTGGCTGGAGAAATCGATCTTTTTCAGTATTGGTAACTAGAAAGTTGTTGTTTGAACACAAGATGGCAGTACATGATTAGCAGTTGCATCTCTTATGAAACTAGAATGGATGTAGCAAAGATAACCATGCAACTGTTCAGTCTTGCCCTTGGAACATCTTACAATAGCAGTTGTTTCACCTGTGATTAGGAAAGGAAACATCCTTATTACGCAGCAAAATATGAATGAAGGCAATAAGAAATCTGAGCATATCTTCAGGATTCTAGTACTAACCACAGGAAGGTTATAAAAATTATTAAAACAAGTTAAATGATATGTAATTATTTGTTTTTTTGAAAGGGTAAATATAATTGGAGGCCTCCAGACCTTATGATTCAGTCTCTTACACATTTTAATCTTATTGAATAATTGGGGAGACTAAAATTGTTTGCTCATGTGTTTTATAGCTTGTACAACTGTATATAGATACTGTAACTAATGCACTTCATGAAGCTTTGCCAGTTTGGCTTCTGAAGCAGAGATAACTATAAAATAAGATTACATTTCCTTGGAACCTTATTAAATACATATTTTTACTTAAGACACATGAAGTGACAACCAGAAGTATCTCATTCTTGGATTTTTTTTTAATGGAAAGAGACAGCACTGGTCTAAAAATCACTTTTTAATGAAGTAGTAATTTTTTTTTAAATGGGAAATTATTCCACTGTGCTTTTACACTGTTATGTATTTAACTACCTAGCGCTTGTGTCAAAATCAGTTTCTGTTACTTAAAAGGTTCTGCTGATACGTTTCTGTCTGCTCTTTTGCATCAATTTATGGCTCGTCTTTAAGATGTCATGGGGCCGTGGGCCATCTTGAACTATTTGCCTTTCCGGCCGAGAGAATTTCCCACGCACCGGCTCTAAAGGTGGATGGATATCTGGGGTTATATTTCCTTGTTATAAACTTGTACAGAAGTTATTTGCGCACATTCTGCCAGGGCTAGTGCCATTTTAGAAATATCAGGGGAGTAACATGGCATTCCATCCATACATTTATAAAAATATTATCCTCTAGTATAGACATCTACTTTAGATGCTTGCCTTGGCAGGACACTTCTCCAGTCACTATGGGAGTAAGGTTCTGAGCTCCCACAAATTTAGCTGACATACTTACTGGGGGGTATAATTAGAGATATAAATATCATTTAAAAAAATCCGTTTAAGCTCCTCTAATTATATCCGTTAAATAGTTAACCAATACCACAGCAGCTCAGACACAGCTGCTGCTGGGACCTATTCCCCAAGCCCTTTGACAGCAGGCAGGGGGTGAAGGGGTTAGCCCCACCAGACAACACGGCCCATGTGAAGCCCTATGCTGGGAGAAAGGGAGCACCTGTGAACAATCAGTTAATTGTTTAATTGATGAGTCATTAGGCTGCCCACTGTTTTCTTCTTTAACCTCATAGGCTAGGGGTACCAGTCCCCTTCTCCCTTCCCTCACCCTCGCTCCTCCCTCCCTCCCTCCTGCTACCCCTGCTGGCTTCTGGTTCCTTCTGGGGCAGGACACAGCTTCCCTTCCCACCCTCTCCCTTCCAGACTGCACCCTGCCCCACACTAAATGATAACTGGAAAGCTAACCAGTTATTGCCAAGTTTATTGGTTAAACAATGACTTGTTTAACCTTTCACATCCCTAGTTACCATAGAAGGATACACACCGAAACAAGCTACTCACCTTCGCAGCAGCTGGAATTCTGAATCAGAGATGCTCACCGCATCATCTGATGAAGTGAGTTTTTGCTCATGAAAACTTATGTATCAGATGATAAAGTGAACTCTTGATTATGAAAGCCTTTGCATCTCTGGTTTACATAGTCTATGAGCTGTGTCTCTACTCTGCCTTCTGTCTCATTTCAGACTAACAGAGATGACTACCTATCTCTGCTGATAGGATTATAAGACATATCCCATATATTCCACTCCCTACCTTCCTTCCCTCTTTCCTTGCAGTGCCACTATGCTCTGGGTATTTGCAGCGGAGAAGAAATAAAAGGTGTGGTTCATCTTGCACTGCCCATTTTATACCTATGGTACAGAATACCGAAGTAACTGGTGTGCATGCACTGACTAAGTGTTAACTGTTTGCAAGAATTCTCTGGTTCTGGCTATGTGGAGCGCGCACGCCTCCACAATCGAATATAGGAAGAGACACAGGTTGGAGACCTCCGGTTACTGCACAAGCAAGTGACTTCTTTTACGGTGTTATGTGCATTCATGGGTCAGAGCAGTGGTTTCTCATAAGTATACACATAAAGCATAACAAAGAAAAGCACAAATCTAAATGTGATGCATTTGTGGTTGAATTGAAGCAATATGTACTTTTAAACTGGAAAATGTAGTTACATATTTTTATGCACAGTAACATTAAAAGTACAGAACAAAAAACAGTTTCCACTAAGAAGTACTCCTGAGTGTTTTCAGTACTTTGGGCTTTTTTGGGAGTGGGTGACCTGGTCTGTAATCCGTTATTAAGAGGTGATTAGTGACGGTATCGTATTTCTGCTGACTTTTCTAGTCCAGCTAATCTACCTTAAGTCTTGTGGTTTAAAGATAGAAAACTGCATTACAGCTAAAACTTCCTTTCTGAGGGTTTCAAACATATTAGCTGACTATTAGTTTAATACCAAAAGGAACTTGAGGAGACACACATCTAAAAATATAATGCTGAGATGGTAGAATATTTTGCTGTGCTTTCACTTCTGATTTGTCTTTAGTCTGGTCATTGCCATGCTTTCAGGGATCTTTTGTCCTTAAAAATGTAGATGACACTAAGTCTCATGTGTCTCATGGACAAAGCAGCTAACTGTGAGAAGTAAAAATGAAGAAAGTATCTTCACTGAGAGTTTAGGAAGTAGTTTCTGGGCATTCCTATTCTTGTGTAAAAATATCTAGGAAAGAGACATTCATGAGCCAAAGCCCACTTGAGCAACCCATTGGAGCTTGTGTACACCAAGTTTCTGTACCAAGTGGCACTCAAGGGAGTGAAGTGGCCAGCATCACCTTCTGCTGTCTATGCCAGGGGCAGGCAACATGCGGCCTGCCAGGCCATTCTATCTGGCTCGCCAGGCCCCTAAAAAATTTAGAAAATTAATATTAATCTGCCCTGGGCTGCCTGTCATGCGGCCCCCGATGGCTTGCCAAAACTCAGTAAGCAGCCCTCCATCTGAAATAATTGCCCGTCCCTGGTCTGTGCCTACCCAGCTTGAATGATGACATATCTATTTACAACTGGGTCAGCTGGAGGCGGACTTTGGCATGAGTTCAGAACAGATTCGCCTTCAGAGCTATGAAAAAGTCTCTTTACCATTCTCCCACCTCGCCTCAAAGGAAAATGTAGAGATTTAAAATAATAAATATGTTTGATGCATCTTAAATCAACATTCAGTACCGGAACAGAGTCCAGTGGCCGTCGTTGTCTTTGCTGTAGGTATGGTCTGGCACCGTTTACTTTCAAAAGTACGTATATTCTGTATAGTTGCTATGGTATTTCATTTTCATTTTTAAGAGACTAAACAGCTTCATATATGAAAATCTGCAGTGCTCCATAGAGGTCTGTTCTACTGCACATTTTTACGTGGGCTGTAGAATCCAAGCTCTTGGCCTTTTGAAACTTGCATTTTTTCTTTATCAGAATCCAGCAGGCGAAAGTCCAAATCCTTCCTGAGCGAGTGCTGCCTTCCACGATGTCAGCAGTACAGCTGCAGTCTCTCAACAGATGCCACATATTTCCTTCTTCCAGACCTACAGTGTGGCAGGACCAACATATACATCAAAGGTGGCAGAAATATCAAAAGGTGAGAAGTTAATTGTGGGGTTTTTTTTGTTGTTGTTTGGTTTTTTTTTTATGGCATTTTGAAAATCGATATAAGTTCAAGCTATGCGTCTTTAAAGAAAGATGCACAAACTGGGACAGTATACATCAACCTCCTGCTGTTGCTGCAGATTAAGTAGTTTTATCAACTCGTAGCAATGGACAGCTATACATTTTATATAGTATTAGATAATATATTTTAATTACAGGACTTTAAGGGAAGTATGTCTGTCTTGCTAAATTGGTTTGAAGGGGTAGAGGTGTGTTTGCACAGAGACATTTTCCTGATAAAACTCTGCCATTATAATTATGTTTTAGCTTTACTGATGAATCTCCTTGTGTGGATTTTTTTCTTTTTAGAAAAATCCACATGAAATATGTTAATATTAGCGCTAGCACTTAAGCATACTGCCTAGCTAAGCTAAGAAACTGGGGTCCTAAGGTATATTTACAGAATAATTCTGTTTGTCACAGTGGTAGAAATTGAAGAGAATGATGTGTGTTACTAATGTGTGTTATTAAGGGGCTTTTATAGTTAGTTCCTCTTACTAGGGATTACTTGAGAATCTTTTATAAACGTGCTGAGAACATCAGTTAGTTCTCTTTTTCTTTTATTTTTCACTTTCTTCCAGATTTGAGGTGAATGTAAGGTCTCTCATTGCAAGGTACAGTAGAGCGGGGGCTTCAGTGGCATGTCAGCAGCAGGGAGAACATCTCCTGCACCAGAGACCGGTAGCTGGGAGATGTACCCGCACTGCAACCATTTCCCCCAGCTGTGGCACAGGTGCACCTTCCAGTCAGTAAGGAGCTGTGCTGGTGATGGACATCTGCAAACTGTATCCGCGTTGCTGCCCCTTCTCCTCCCCACCCCCAGCCTCTGTTGCAGCGTGGGCACATCTGGAATGTGCCTGACCCCAGTGCAGCTTCCGACTAGATGGAGGCTGCACCTGTGCTGCATCTGGGAGGGGAGGGGAGAAATGGTGGCAGCACCAATACAGGTTATAGATACCTGGTCCAGGCACAGCTCTCCACTGGCTGGAAGCTGTGCCCATGCTGCATCCAGGACAAAGCACAGGGAGAAGTGGCAGCAGTGCGGGTACAGCTGCTTGGCACCAGCATAGGTGCAGGCAGCTTCCTGCTGCTGACATGCCACTGAAATGACCCAGCCCACGTTGAAATGGAGTCAAGAAGGAGTAGTAGCGTAGGCAAAGATGGAAGCTGCCCAGCCCCCACACAGTTCTGTACTGCCGGATTCAGCCGTTTCGGGGGGACAGTGATTCGATTCGGTGTTTTGGATCACTGTCCCGGTTTGATTCGGCCAAAACTCTTTTGGAATTTCGATGCTATTTCGGACATTCGACCATAGACTATAATGGGGAATCACTAAAATACCTATAACTTTCTCATTTTTTGGCTGATTCAGATGAAAATTGCAGGGATGATAGCCTCTTCTAAAGGCACAAAGCCTGCCAGGGTTCAAGGAGATAGGTGCAGGGGTTTTTGTGAAACTGCACCTCAAACTGTTTAAAGCAAAACTCGTATCACTTGCCAGCAGCATGCTGTCATCCCGCACGCAGATCTGGGGGCCCGTGCCCCCCCGGGAGGGCTGCAGGGTTGTGCCAGACTCCTTCCGGGGGAGTGCGGGCCCCCAGACCTGTGCGCGGGATGACAGCAGGCTGCCGTGCCTCCCCCAGAGCACTGGGATTGGAAGGGACCTCAGGGACTGACTACGGACACTGGCCGGCTACAGATGTCGATATCAGAGCAGTCCTTACCACCCTTCCCCCTCCCTCTTCTGAGTTTGTTTCCCTGCAAGCCCGAAACTCCTAAATTTTCCAAAACGTTTCAGATGCTTTCATTTTGTTTTGGAGCTTTTTCTTGGTCTCCCATTCGGAATCAGTGGTTTGGGCGCTGAAACGGGTCGAAACACCTTCGAAACGAAATGGCTGCTGAAGTTTCGCGCAGCCCTACTGCCCAGCTCTACCCTGGGCACAGGCAAAACCCTCCAGCTTCATGGGCTGGATCTGACCCATGGGCTGTATGTTGCCAACTCCCGCAATAGAGCACTGCAAATTCTGTTATTTAGTGTAGGTTGTTTGAATTTTAGTGCTAATTTGAGAGCAGTAATATTGGTTTTGGGAAGGTGGGATGTAGACGTTTTAGTAAGGCCCTGTCTTACCCTGATGTACAATGCCCCTGCTTTATCTCAATTCATACTTTCTCACAGAGGAAGTCCTCTGTGCTTGGGTCTTGCCCCTCCTCTGCTGAATGAGGTAGGCACTTGTCTTTGTACTACCTTTGCTTCTCTTTTGGCAACCAGTAGGAGAAGCCTTGTTTGCAGTGAAAAAACGAGTTGAGCAGACGGCAGTGGAATTAAGCAGATTGTAGTTTGATAAGTAGTTCACTTTACATTGTTCTTCACCAGCTACACAGCCTGGGAACTTATCACTTTTTCCGAGGATCCACTAAATGATAGGGAGCCCTTCCAGCCACAGTTAATTAGATGAAATCTTTCCAAAAAGTAGTATAATTTTTGGTTGATTAGAAAGTTTGCATTAAAATAATGAAACTTCATTAGGCTGGTTTTGGTGAGAAAGCTTCAGAAGACTTGAATGCTGCAGGAAGTTCCATTGCTGGGATATGACAGTCTTTGTGAGTAAATTAAAGGGCATATTGACATGAGTTTTGATGCTTCAAAAATATTGGCCATCTGCAGGTGTGCTGCTGTGGTGAGATTCATGGCAGATACAGTTATGCTGCAGGTGTAGATACACATATAACAGCAGAGCTGCTTTTTTGCCAGCATAATTTATTTTGGTCAGAGGGCAGCTATGAGTAGTGTGGACACTAGAAATACTTTTCCTGGCATATTATAGCTATACCAGCAGAGCCTTTGAAATGTTGACCTGGGCTATTTTCAAAGGTGGCTTAGGTGCATAGGAGCTGAAAATTCACTTAGTCACTGAGTTCATCTCAGTGAGATTAACAGGATATTGTAGGCAAGTCATCAAAGTCAATAAGAAGGGAAAGGGTGAGCTTTTACATTGGGAGCTGCTCGTGTTTGGCTGGAGATTGTTAAAACCCTGAAGAAAACTGAGTGCCTAAACATTTGGCAAAGTGGAAGATGAGAGATGGGGCCAGATTTTTGCACCTGTGCTGGTTCGTGATAAAATTCCTATAGCTGGTCATTAGGGCTGTGCGAAGCTTCAGACACTGATTTGATCTGGTGGCTGAATCTCCAAATCTGAATCAAATCAGGAAACCATTTAATCTCTCTGAATCAAATCAGAACCCCTCTAATCGATTCGGAAAGATTCAATGATTCAACCATAGACAAAGCTTTAAATGTTTTTTTCTACATACCTCAAAATAGCAGGCGGCTCATGAACGTTGTGACGCTGGGGCGCATGGAGCATCCCACAGGAGTATGTGGGGCTCAGCGCGCTCGGCAGCAGACCCGGAAGCGGACCAGAAGCATTTCCAGTCCACTTGTGAGTGTGCTGCCCCCTCCCCCACACACAAACCCCCTCCCAGCTCAGTGACTGGTGCCTCCTGGGTCTGGGGAGGCACACGGAGTCCCCCGCGGCTGATCGCCAAGCCGGGGGGTGGGGCCTCCCAGTGTGCTCCCTGGCAGACCTGGAAGTGGACCGGAAGTACTTGTGGTCCACTCCTGGGTTCGCTGCTGAGCACACGGGGGGCCTCCCCACGCTCCTGTAGGATGCTTCATCCGCTCCAGCATCGCAACATTCACGAGCTGCGCCTGGTACCTCAAAGTATGTAGAAAAAACATTTAAAGCTGTGCCTATGGCCAAATTGCTGATTCTCCAAATTGGCATCGAATCTTCAGATTCGGATTCAGCCGAATCGAATTGGGGACAGTGATCCGAATCAACGAATCGAATCACTGTCCCGGATTCGGGCCGAATCCAAATCAAATACGGCCCATTTCGCACACCCCTACCGGTCACGTTATAATCTTTCATAACATACTCGCCTCGTCTTGTGGGCCTGCCAGCCCTGGCTTAGGATCGATATGGTGTGAGACAAGATTCACGTATAGAGAGAAGGCAAGGGATCATTAAGTAGTATTCAAACCTTAGCTCTCCGCTGAGTTGCCTCCAAAAGTGATTTCGGAGTTCCACATAGCTTCCAACCTGCGTTATTTTAATTTCCCAACATGGTCAAGAATTGTTCAGGATTATTTGTATTTTTCAGTTTTTTCTTCAGTAAGCGTGGAATTGTTAGTGAACAAAAATGTGTGGCAAGTCATGAAATACTGGGAAAAATGGAGGTATTTTTGTTCTCTAGGAAGTCAAAGGGCTGCAAGGCTCTTAAACCGTTTCCCCGCTGAATTAAGATTTACGGACAGTTTTTGTAGTCAAGGAGAATTTATCCAACAACCAGTGATATATGGTAATGTAGTGGTTATAATGAAATTTGTGGGAAGAACTGAGAGTACACAGGCTCACTCCCTATGTATACCTATCATAGCTGGTATGAATTGGTATAGCTCCATTGATTTCAACTTGCTGTGGTATTTTGCTTTATCCCTATCCTCTACATGGTTATTTGTTATAAGGTTCAGTCAAGTGACTCGTATCTTCAGTAAATAATTATAATTTCTGCCTCTTCTGAGAAACGTTTCCCTTCTTCATATCTAAATTTAGTTTTCCAGATGCTCTTAATATTTTTGCACCCTACTTAATTAAACTTAGCTAGAATACTAAAATTCCTCCATTGCTTAATAGGTTTCTGTCAGATGGGGAATAGGACTGATATTGGTATATATTCATGAAAATATTTAGTGAGAAAATATTTAGATAGGTATAGGAATCATTTCTAATTTTCAGCCAGTGTGTGAGCGGTGCACTTATGACTAGATAGTTTTGTTGTGTGGTTTTTTTTTAATTTAAAATAAATTATCCTTATTCCATACCTGGTTTATTATGGGGAGAGCAGTCTCGGGATCACCTTGCTAGACTCTAGACATCTGGGTTCAGGTTTAGGCTTGAACATAAATATTTTTGTTTAGTTAATTTGTCTTTTGAGGACACTGGCAACTTAAAATCACACTTCTTTCCAACTATTTTTATCTGCACTTTTTACAAGTAACACTTCCATTGCTAATTCTTTAAAACAAAACTATCTTCGTTTTGGTTTTTTTGTTGATGCCAGTAGAGCTATGACAGATGACCTTAGCTGCTGGTGTATAGCTCATGATTCTCCACGGGTTTTTTTTTTTTTTTTTGAAGTTGTGCATTTAACAAGGCATGATTATATACTGTTTCGTTTCATGCTGTACCCTGCGTAGTCAGTCAGTTTCCCAGTTAGTGGTGGGCATCATTCATTTAGCAGCAGGGGAGGAAAAACCATTTTAAAGTATGAACAAGTGATTGCAAAAAATGACAGGAGACTAAGGAACAAGTGAATTATGTACATCTCCTTTTAACTTTGTACATGTGTTTAGATTTCTAGTTGAAGGTGCCCTGCTTGTTGGTTTGTTTTGGGGGTTTTTTGTCATTAAAAAAAGAGATTTCAGCTATCTTCCTCACTTTCTTCATGTGCAAATCTATATTTTGTTTGTTACGGGGTGTTGAGGAGCTTCACTGTATTTACCAGGTGTTTTGCAACCTTTAGAAAAGTGCTGATAAATCCACGGTATAGCTTGTTTTGACTAAATCAGTTCACAGCCTTTTTAAATAAACAGGTACCTTCACAGATTCTCTTCCTCCTTGTATTTGCTTTTACAGTTCAATGAGTAAAATCTTTTTGTTTAAAAATTAAACTGTTTTCTGTTCCAGAGGAAGTTTCACTGTGCTAGTTTGACATCTTGGCCTCCGTGGCTCTATTCTTTATATGACGCTGTAAGTATAAACCAGGAATCCACAATCTGTTTTCTGCATTTGAGTAGTTCATTATTAGGAACTGAAAAAAATATCTGATTTTTTGTTTCATGTTTGGTGCCGACTTCAGACCTAACACAACTTTTTAGGATGCACGACATAAGCATTCTAAAGTAAACTTAGCAAAGTGACGAATATTTAATGCAAAAATATGAGAGAGAGAGAGTGATTTTTGTTTACTTCCAAATCAGTAGCTTGGATTTTGATTCAAGTTTTTTGAGTATCTGTAGGCTTCTTTAACCCAAGCCTTTGAGCTGTCCTTTTTCCCCTCCCAAGTCTCATGCTATTAAAGGGCTCAGTTGCGATGTTTTGTTTTCTAGGCATAACAATCAAACTATGCTCCTAACTAGTGCAGTATTTAAGGATTCAGCCTAACAGGTGTTTTTTTTTTTTAATAACAAATGAGTGCTAAGGCAGTTATACCCTTTTCTTCCAGAAAAGTTTGTTCAATTTTATATTGAGTCACTCGAACGTAAATAGTATTTGGATATTGAGAAGCACCTTAGCTATACCAATGCAAGTTCTTCCCATGCTCCTCCAGGTGCGAAATCTTGGCCCAATTGAAGTTAATGGAATTTGAACAAGGATCAAATTTTTGGTCAGAATCAGAGAGTAAGTGAAATTTTCACTCCAGAATACTCACTAGCGTGGTGGCTAGGGCCAGGAAATGGGAAACAGGATTAAGGCTCTCTGCTTGATTCAGACCAGGGACTTACACTCCCGTCTCCCATATTCCAGTAGGATGACCAGGCTGTTTGCTTTTCTGAGATTGGTTTCTGTTTCTTACGTTGCAGCTGTTCCACCTGATATAAAGAGGTAGGGGGAGACTTAGATTCAAATACAGGGCCTAAAACAGGCAGGCGAGGGCACTGAAATTTAGTTTCCACCTCCCAGATAAGTGTCCTAATCATTAGGGTTTGTGCATGTTCCGTTCAGTTTAAAATAACATAGGCATGTAGTTAAACTGCAGTTGTGGTAACTTTTTTAAGAGCTAGCGTCCATTTAGGGCAGATAACTTACTTCCAATTTTGCTTTTTTTTTTTTTTAAGAAAACAGAAATTTCTGTGTATTTAAATTAGGCTTTTCTTCTAACAAAAGGAAACCCTGATGGAAAGAGTCAAGAGGCAATTACATGAGTGGGATGAAAATCTTAAAGATGAATCTCTTCCATCAAATCCAATAGGTACTGTAAAATAATATTGTTTGCTCTTTGGTTCATTTTGTTAAATGCAGTGACAGTATTTTTTCCTGTTTGATAGCCCAGGAATATTACCGAGAAGAAATTGTATATACTGAAAACATGTTTGCAGGTTAATACAAAATATTTCAGCGCTTACTTTCTTATAAATCACACTAAAGTAATGCTTTGATGGTCGGAATCTCCAGATTTCAAATGCACTGTCAGGGTAAAATGAAACTGTGTGTGTGTGTGTGTGTGTGTGTGTGTGTGTGTGTGTGTGTGTGTGTGTGTGTGTGTGTGTGACACCAATACTTATCCTCTTTTCCTGGTCTACCACTATGTTTATGGTACAAGTCAAGTAGCTTGAGCCGATTTCAATTCCAGTTCCTGGATAAAAGCAATCGATTTTTGAATTTATTTTAATTTTTAAAACCAAAATCTCTTGATTGCATAATTAATGGAACTTATAACTGTTGTTGGATTGGGTTTGGGTACAAATTTGAAAAAGCAACCCACCAAAAAAGAATGCATACAGAAAATACTTTACCTTTCTTGTGAGGCAGCACTTAGATGCATATTGTTGTTATTCGAGTCAGCAGCAATTAATGTGCCATTTCTTATTAGAACTATGTTATCCACTTGCAGAAAGGAAGTAGTGCAGATATAATGATGACCAAATTAAAGGCAGGCATTAGTTTTATTTATTTCTTAAAATGTAAGAATTGGTGGTGTTTTTCTTCCAGATTTTTCTTATAGAGTGGCTGCTTGCCTGCCAATTGATGATTCATTACGTATTCAACTGCTTAAAATAGGGAGTGCAATTCAGCGTCTACGGTGTGAATTAGATATTATGAATAAAGTAAGTATCTCCCTTACTTTTCAGACTCTCTTAAGTCTGTTGCTTTTTAACAACTATAGTTTGTGTAATCTAAAAGAAGAACATTTTGGTAAGTTGTGTTATAAGAGTCTGGTTTGAGGAATCTCTTACCTTTAAGGAGCTTCCTCGGATAGAAAATATGTTCAGTTGAAGTTGGCTGCTTTGCTAGGTTTAGCAAAGAGGTAACAGTTTAATATTTTTAACCCATATTCGAGTTTGATATATGACAGTTGTGCATTGAAAATTATTTTCCAACACTTTCTTCTACTCCTCTAACCAAGAGGTGGTGCTACAAGCCTAATACAGCTGCTACAGTTCCTTCCAGAGTCATAGCATAGAATCATATCATAGAAATTAAGGGCTGGAAGGGACCTTGAAAGATCATTGAGTGGAACGCCCCTGCTCTGGGCAGGAATACTGAATCAGAATGCACAGTATAATACTAGGTAATTAAGTATCACAGTGTAATAAATTGGATAGCTTTATTTGCTTTTTAATGTTTGATATATCCCTGTAGTAATGACAAAGCTAAATAAACATTGGATTTTTACCTTAAAATATTGTTTGAAAATAGGAATATTATTAGACGATTGAAAAATTGCCTTCTCATCCTTGTTACCTAGGTTTTCTGGACCTGAAATTTAACCTAGATCATGTAACACAGGAGTGGCTATAGGTAAGTGGTCAAATGGCAAAGTATCTAATGCTTTAAAAATGTGGCATGTGCATAACAATAAACACATACAGTAATTGGAAGAGTGCTGTACTTTCCACATACACAGACCCTGGTATGTTTTATTTTAACATTATGGACATTTTTTTAGTATGGTATGTGTAAATCAAATTGGATTATGAGAGTATGGAGTATAGTGCTGAAGCGCAGTATGAAACAACCTTCTAATTATGCAAGCTACATTATTTTTCTCATGTAATTTAGTATTTGAAGGAGCTATTACTTTGCCATTTGACCACTTCACTTTTGTAGTTTCTGAGACCAGCAATCTCTTTTCAGTTTTTAATTCTATTAAAGAAATGTAGATGGGGTAACAAAAGGCAGATTTAAAATGAAGTCCAAATGCTGTTCTTTTCTAGACTCTGTACTATTTCAGTGTCAAAAGAGCTTAAGCCATATATTTAATCATGGCTTAATATATTTAATATACTAGAAATGTATAGTATTACATATGATATGGCCCTTGAAACTAATCCTTCTGACCAAGATAGCAGCCTTATCCTGAGTACCTTTCTTCTGTAAGTAAGGTGTTGCCAAACTTAGTATATAGCATTTCTAATAGTAAATTTGACAGTTCCAAAGAAAAGACATACTTACAGTTAAAGCCTGTAAACTAAATAGTTTGCAACTGTTATGGACTGCTTGTTCAAGAGATTGCTAATAGCATTTGGAGTGTTTCCCCATTTGATTATTTAATGGAGGTCAGCATGAATAGTAGTCATTCCAGTTCCTAATGAGTAGAGCCTGGTTTAAATCTTGATTTCGCATTTTTCATGAAAATCATGAAATTACGGGTTTTTCATAAAAAAAAATATGATTTGCAATGAAATACAACGACATGGCTGCTTGCCAGGGAGTTGCCTGGCAAGCAGCCATATCACGATATTTTTTGCAAAACACAATGGCTCCATAGCCCTGGGGGTGCCTGTGCCGCTGTGCAGCACCCAATCCCTGTCCCAGCCAGCAATGGCAGTGCATCACCAGGCAGGCAGCGGGAGGGAAGTGCTCAGTGCTACCCCAACAGGGCTCCCATGTGGGAAGCAGGGGCTGTGGCCACTCCAGCCACCCCCCCCACATTCCCCTTCTGATTAAGGGGGGGAGGGGTGCCACAATCTGGGCACAAAAATGGCAGCCCCCTCCACAATTGGGCCACGATACTAGTGAGTTGGGCCCATTATTTTTAACCAGGCCCTACTAATGAGTAAGCATTCCTTGTTCCTTTGTCATAAGAATGGTCGTAGAAACCAAGCTATTTATTTTTTCAACCAGTAGAGAAACCTACTCAATCAAAGTTGTAGTTTATTTGTTGGAGGCAGAGCTAGGGAAGCTTGTATTACTACTGCCTTTGTTATTCCTGATCTGTGGCCAAAAGAAGATAAAGCTGTCAATCTTGCGCTTTCCGTGTGCACTAACTTCTCATGAAAGACCTAAAAGATAATCATAGTGTAAAGGAGAATTCGGGACCTTCTATTTTCCAGCGAGGCTTCTGTCGTCACCTAAAAGTGTGATCATCCCCTTCGTAGTTCTGGAATTGTTAAAATGCTCTAATTTACTGATCAGGCAATTTCCAAGATTTGTTTATCTACAAGATAGTACAGTATGGTTTGCCCCCAAAACATACTAGGAAACTTGAGTTGCCCTCATACAATATAAATGCTGACTGTAGTCTTTAGTTTTTCCATCCCTAGAGTTGTAGATGTGTTAAGAGATGTCCGTGCTGGCCCAAGGTGGGAAACTATTATATGAGGGCAGTGGGGTCCCACAGGGCTCGGTCCTCGGCCCCGCCCTGATCAACATCTTCATCAGTGATTTGGATGAGGGGGTGCAAAGCACCCTGTTCAAATTTGCTGATGACACCAAGATGTGGGGGGATGTGGGCACAATAGAAGGGAGCAACAGGCTACAGTCGGACCTTGACAGGTTACAAGGATGGGCGGAGGAGAACAGGATGGGGTTCAATACAGACAAGTGCAAGGTGATGCACCTGGGGAGGAACAACCGGCACCATACCTACAGGCTGGGGAACTCCCCTCTTGTCAGCACGGAGGTGGAAAAGGATCTTGGAGTCATTATTGACTCCAAGATGAACATGGCTCGGCAGTGTGGGGAGGCGGCTAGGAAGGCCAACTGTACCTTGTCGTGCATCCACAGATGCATTTCAAGCAGGACCAAGGAGGTGATCCTCCCCCTCTATGCGGCACTGGTCAGGCCGCAGCTGGAGTACTGCGTCCAGTTCTGGGAGCCGCACTTTAAGAGGGATGTGGACAGCATCGAGAGGGTCCAGAGGAGGGCCACTCGCATGATCAAGGGACAGCAGGGCAGGTCCTATGAGGAAAGGTTACGGGACCTGAACCTGTTCAGCCTCCAGAAGAGACGGCTGAGGGGGGTCTTGTGGCCTGCTATAAACTAGTCAGGGGGGATCAACAGGCACTGGGGGAGTCCCTGTTCCCCCGAGCACCGCCAGGAGTGACCAGGAATAACGGTCACAAGCTGGCGGAGGGAAGGTTCAAGTTGGGCATCAGGAGGCGCTACTTCACGGTCAGGGCGGCTAGGGTCTGGAACCAGCTTCCAAGTGAGGTGGTGCAGGCTCCCACCCTGGGGGTTTTTAAGAGGAGGTTAGATGACCATCTTGCTGGGGTCGTTTGACCCCCAGTACTCTTTCCTGCCATGGCAGGGGGGCGGACTAGATGATCTGCCTCGGTCCCTTCCGACCCTAGAAACAATGAAACTATGAATCTTTTTAACTATTGCTGTATTATTTGGAGTGATGAGACTGCCAAGTGGATAACTCTTTCTCCAAATAGCATTTAATTTGGTAATGTACGGTCTGCTAAAACAGGCATTTAATTTGTTGAAGAGGGCTCTGATTTTTTTGAACATGCAATTTGCTTTGCTTTACAAAGATGTATTTAACAGATTTTGAGCCTGATTTTACAGTGATGTAACTGAGATTAGGATCCGCTCCATTGCTCTTTTGGCATTTGATGCAAATGAAATGTTCTGCACTTGTTATGGAGTTTACAGGTATAACCTGGATGATTTATTTTATTATAAACCATTAACTATAATTTACTATTTATATAAAAATGCATCATGTGTATGCTTTTTCCTTGTACACACAGAGTATAAATCATACTGGCATAGACTGAGGCATCAGAAAGAGGTGGATAAGAAGGGAAGACAAAGTAAAATTAAGGAAATGTGTAGGTGAGGTCTGGGGGGGATGTTTCTGCAGCTTGACAGTATGATAATTTTAAACCAGGTTTAGCTGACTCAGAGCTACAGAAGATGCCACAGGAGTAGAGAGAGAGAGAGGTGGGAAAGAGAGGTAAAACAAAAAAGGTGCATTTGAAAAAGGATTTGAAGGGAGTTAAGGGCAGTTAGCCTGCTATTGATAAATAGCCCACTCTAGTGTTTTTTGTATGTAGATCTTGAAGAACTCTATAGCACAGGGGTGGGCAATTATTTCGGGTGGAGGGCTGCTTACTGAATTTTGGCAAGGCATTGAGGGCCGCATGATAGGCAGCCAGGGGCAGACAAATACTTAATTTTCTAAATTTTTTAGGGGCCCCACGGGCAGGATAGAATGGGCTGGTGGGCCACATTTTGCCCACCCCTGCTGTAGCAGGACAGTCGAGATATAAAATGCCTCACAAAAAATACCAGCAAAGGCAAGAGGCGGAGACAAAACGAGCAAGAAGTTGAAATGAGCAGGATATAGAAAATAAGATAAAGTGAGGTTAGAAGCAGATGCATTTGGGTAGCGTGTATAAATGAAGATGGGGAGTTGGAACTTATTTTGGATCAGAATTGCAACCTGGGGTTTAATTAAATTGTTAAAAAGTGTTCAGCCAGAGACTTTTCCAAAGGAAGACTCTTGAAGTAACAGTTTATTCCAGAAGTTTTTTTCAAACCGTTTCACTGATAACGTTTTAAAAGCATTACCCTAAAAGTATATATTTTGCATCCTAGGAATAAATATCTGCATAAAGTTTGTAATAAATTCATTTAAATGTTTATTTTCTAGGTGATATTTTAGATAAATTGGTTTTGCATGGTTTACTACCTAGAAATTATAGGTGACAGTCTGTCAAAAATGTTTAGGGGGGGAAAATCAATATATTTTAATTTACAAAATCTTTTTGAGGAAATGAAGATTACTTGTATATCCAGAGTTACAGGTTATGGATTTTCTTAGACTTTCATAGTTAAAAACCTTTTCCTTTGTTTTTATTACGGGAAAGTTGTGATTCCTCCAGTGCTGTTGAATATCTGAAAATGAATGAAGTTCTCTTGTTTGTTTTTCCTTTTAAGTGTACGTCTCTTTGTTGTAAGCAGTGTCAAGACACAGAAATAACAACCAAAAATGAAATATTCAGGTGAGTTGTAAACCTCAGTTGTTAGGTTATATCCACATTTCAGCGAATGAAAATTGGATATGTATTCATACTATTGCTTTTCCCAAAACTCCCATGGTCATGTTTTTTTTCTTTTGAAGACATTTTGAGATGATCAGTAAATGTAACAAAAACCAGATAACACAAGGTTTTGTTTCTGAACAAAATTCAGCAAACCCAGATGTCAGCCAGTCTACACAATTATAATTTTAAAAGTTCATTATGGTGCTTTTTAAAGGCTTACAGGAAGGTTATCTACTGTGACAATTTGGGGAATAAGCATTTTTATGTAAGTAATAGGAAAAAAATTCCTGTTGCAGGTCTGCAAAATACTTCATTTCTGCATTTTAATGAGCAGTGACTTGAAGCTACTGAATGCAGTTTGTGTATTTTGGTATAAGAAATTCTTATCAGAAGAATCTAAAATGTTGTACTATGCAGTGCGTTCCTTTTATATTCATGAGCTACCAGTGTCCTCAGTAATTAACTATGTCAGTGTAGTACTTTTTCAAAAATATTGCCATTGCTGGGTGGTCTTGTCTTCAGCTTCATCTTGGATAACTAATATCTGTCCATCGTGTACAATAATGTGAAGTTTTAAACGATTTCTCCATTTAGCAAAATAAGATTCTCCACGGTTGTTCTTTATCAGTAAGATAAGAAGCTGCCATGGTAATTGAAACCCATTTCTTATCTGCCAATTAAATGATGGATCCCAGAACCCTTAGGTTCTGTTGGGTTGATACTTCTTAATTCCCAGTTTAAAGACTTGAAACTAATATAAGTCATGCATATTATGCATATGAAATTAATATGCATATTTTCACTCATTGCTCATATTTAAAGACAAAATAAAGAGAATGCTATTTATTTTAGTTGGAAGATGATACTTGGTGGTAGTTGATAAAAGTACATGATAAATTATTTTGTCTTTAGTTTGTATTAACAAGCTATATGTCTCTGAGGTACCCACTCAAGTGAGGTATTTTCCTTGCTAATGTTCTGTCAGCCCTGCAGTTAATAACTTGTCATCTTGAACAAACACGGGCACTGATTCAAAGCTCACTAAAGCATAAGTTTATTTTACTAAAATTGTAATACTTTTTTTTTAAATTCTTGTTCAGGAAAACACATGTGCATTAGCTTAGGAGCCCCTGTCAAACAGGTAGTCAAAATTGGACTTGCTCCCAGTAGCCCTGACAAAAGATTTTAGGGTTGGAATGAAACTTAGCCAAAAGTTAGTAACTATTAATGATAATAATCTTTTAAATTAATAAAGGTCTATTTTCATTGTGTTTTTAAGACCTTTAACTCAATAAATCTTTTCTGCAAGCAGATTAGGTAGTTTTGTTATGCAGCTTATATTGCATTCGGAAACTGAACAATTTCAGTTTCTTTTCTCTGGTTTGATTCTAATTAGCAGGGCGGGGGGCGGGCAGAGGAGCAGAAGATATGCTGATCACTGTAGACCAGGGGCGGAGTCAGAGGGTGCATGGAAGAAGAGAATGGAAGTCTTACCTACCCAGGCAGCAGCAGCATCAACTCCAGTGGCAGCAGCCCCGTGGCTGCAATCCATGGGAGCTGATCCTGGTGCCCCATTCCCTCTTCCACAACCCCTCCCTCCCCCGTACATATGTATGGGGTGCAGGGCTGTCCTGACTCCAGCAAAGCAGCAAAGACTTCCACATGGGAGCATCATTCAGTTTGGCCCATTTGCCCCCCACCCCCAAAATGTACGGTCTGATGAAGTGCTGCCCTGTCCAGTTCCTGTAGCTAGGTGGGATAGCGCAGGGCTGCCCCTACCCTGTGCAGCACAGACTCCCTGTGGGGGGTGATTCTAGGGACCTCTAATAGTCAGCACCTGGAGCTGGTGCCCCACTTACCCTGTCCTAATTATGCTACTGTTAATTAGAGTTGTTTTTATTTCCAAAACAGAAACTCTGATTTTTGCATTATGATCTGTCTTGGAAGCTATGAAAGTACACTACTGACTCGCTTATCTGTTGCAGTTTGTCCTTATGTGGGCCTATGGCTGCATATGTAAATCCTCATGGATATATCCACGAAACACTTACAGTGTATAAAGCCTGCAACCTGAATCTGAATGGCCGACCTTCTACAGAGCACAGCTGGTTTCCTGGGTAATACAGCATTTCGTTCGATTAATAATATACTCTGGTATTATGAAATATACTTCAGAAGTTTCACTAGCAAATAGTAGCAATTCGTAATTCTGTTTTAAATTTATCCCTGCCTATGGATACTGTGATATTTTTTTTTTTTTTTTTTTTTTTTTAATTCCCATTTAGTCATTTAATTACTGGAAGGCAAAGTACAAACAGTCAAAAAGCCCAAGGCTGAATCAATTCAGTCTTCACAGGTTTAGTCCAAGCTGCACATATTGAACTGATAAGCAAGTGAACAGATATTCATTTGATTCTAGAAATGAAACCAAATGCCTGCAGTGGCTCAGGCCAGAAGCTGAGGGGTGCTAGAACACGCCTCCCTGCTCAGCTGGAGCAGACAGCTTGGGTCAAGGCTAGCCTGCCCACCCTGCGAGAGAGGTACAAAGCATCCTGGGATGCTGGGGGACTGCGAGTTAGCTTGAATTTGGAGGGCATCTGGGATAGAAGTTCATGAAGCCAATTTAACCTAAATCAGTTAAGTCTGCTACTACATCCATCTAGGTTTATCTTAAACTGGTTTCAACCATTTGGAAAGCAGTTTATGTGCACTGAGCTTCTGTTGTGTTACAGATCTGAACTGGTTTGCAATCACTTACCTGTTCATGTGCAACTTCTGTCCCTAGTCTTAATGAACAGGAAGGTAAATGAAACATTCCTTTTAAATCTCAAAGTTGCAAAAGATTCGTGATTTTTCTCTCGAGCTATTTAAACCACTCATCCATTTTCTCTTTTTAAAAAGTGTTTTTTGAAGAATTATTTTATTTACCCAAATAATATTTTGTGAATGCTCTCTGTAATTCATGCTAAGGATCTGTTATTGGTAGTATTGTCTGGAAACTCCAGTCACTTATCATGGTTTCAAAAAAAAAATTGTTTACCAGAAACAGTTTGGTTGGTAGACACATTTTCCTGTCTTTCTTCTCTCCTCCATTTACCTTTTGATATTATGTCTATTTAGCCTGACCCAAAGCACCAAGTATAATTTTGGGTGCACTTAGTCTCAGAGCTGTGTCGTCTTATTCATCTGGTCTGAAAAAATTGCGAGGGGAAAAAAGAATCTGATCCAGGAAGGGAGGGGAGGGGAGTAGAGCAGAGCAGCCACCACTGTTACTGCCCCTCTGCCCTGTAACCAGGAACTGCTCAGCGGGCAGCTATGGCAGCGCTGGGCTCAGGAAGGCTTCAGCCTTGCCACCCTGCCAGCTGGGCTAGCAGGGATGGGGATTGCCAAGCCAGCAGGACCAGGGAGGTTGTCCCCAAGCTCAATTCCTAGCCCCGGCCAGTTTTCCCTTTCCACCCCTGCAGTGATTTAAAAGCCGGCAGGTGTGGAAGCGGACTTGTAGAGGAACTGTCTGGTCTGCATAATATACGGGGGCTTTGTCTAATTGCTCAACTCTCCTCCCGTAGACTGGTACTGGAAAGCACAAGGGGCAGATGCAGGCCTAGTGCCTGCACTGCTCCCTCTCCTATCATCGGCAAAGCTAACAGCACTTTATCATGCATCAGCAGATACATGACAAATAGATCCAGGGAGGTGATACATCCCCTCTATGCGGCATTGGTCAGACCGCAGTCGGAGTACTGCATCCAGTTTTGGGCGCCGTACTTCAAGAAGGACGTTGATAGACTTGAGAGGGTCCAGAGGAGGACCGCCCATATGGTTAGGGGCTTACAGGACAAGCCCTGTGAGGAGAGACTGAGGAAACTGGACCTCTTCAGGCTCCGCAAGAGAAGGCTGAGAGATCTTGTGGCTGCCTACAAATTCATTACGGGGCACAGAAAGGGATCGGAGATGCTCTGTTCACCAGGGCGCCTCTTGAGGTAACAAGGAACCATGGTCACAAACTGACAGAGAGCAGGTTTAGGTTAGACATCAGGAAATACTTCTTCACAGTAAGGGTGGCCAAAATCTGGAATGGGTTTCCAAGGGAGGTGGTGCTCTCCCCTACCTTGGGGGTCTTCAAGAGAAGGCTGGATAGGCACCTGGCTGGGGTCATCTGACCCCTGCGCTCTTTCCTGCCCAGGCAGGGGGGTTGGACTCGATGATCTGTTGAGGTCCCTTCTGACCCTAGCACCTATGAATCTATGAAAAACATTTTTTAGGGGTGAAAATTTCTCAGAAATTTCTGGAATGCCTGTTCGTGGCCAGGGTGGGCTAAGCACCAGATGGTGTTTACCAAAAAACTTAAAAAAAAATGTTTACACAATCTGGCTTCTCTAACAGGTAAATGGATCTTTATTTCCTAAGAGTTTCTCTGGCAAAATACTTTCACCATAAACCTCTGACAACATAATGAGTTCCATGGTGAGCAGCTTTGTTTGGATAACACAAATAAAGCATTTCAAGTTAAGTGGGGAATCATGTAGCATAAATGGCTAAATTCTAGAGAAAAAAGTTATAATGTTTCTTTTCCGCTAATCCTTGATGATAAGCATGTGGAGGAACGTACAGCTGTTCTTATGTAGAATGCTTTACAAATCCTCGAACTGGATTAATAACTGCTTTAGTAATTGAAAAATAGAAATATCCCCTTCTTCATTCAAAGGTTGATTTACATTTACAGTGAAATAAGTCTGCTGTTCCAGATGGTAAAATTATTTTCAAAATATAAAAGATGTTCATTTCTGTCTAAACTATTTAAAAAATCACCTCCTAAGCGAGCATGATGTCATGCTGGGATAATGGTCTGATTTCGAGGCTATTTGTATTCCACGCATTTTAAGAAGCGTGCCTGCGTCTGCAGGTGGAACAAACCCTGCTGCTCCCACTCAGAGGAGATAGCGTATTGAACCATGCAGGTGCAGGAATGGCCTGTGGTACACCGCCAAATAAGGGAAAGACAGAGAAGATTTAAAGTGGTCAAGTTGTTCATGAATTGACAGTGCTGTTGGATGTTAAAATGCAGTTTGCAGGGCTCCTTCACAGCAAATTCAGGTAAAGGAAGTAGTTTCAGCTCATACCCAGCTTAAGGCAATCATGAATTCCTTTAGGAATTGCAAATACTTTAAAAGTTGATGCCTGTTAGTACAGCTAATAAGATGTATTGAATTTCTATACATCAAGGTTAGTATATATATATTTGCTATTTCTGATGTTAATCCCAGATTCAACACTTGTATAGAGAGAGTCCTAAATCATAGACTGTACAACTAAGGTGCATTTTTGATCCCTCTCCCTCTGCCGTTGTTTTCTCTCTTGGAAGTACCTCCTTGTGACCGTCACTTGTCTTTAGCTTATTCAATTGACTTCTTGTGAAGCATCATGTGTTAGTCCTCTGTTGACCCATACAGATTAAATACACTGTTGCTAAAGCCTTTTAAAAATGATATTTAATACTTTACTTTCTGTGGATACAATAGCTTTTGGGACTGAAATTTTCAGGCCATTACCGAATTTTTAGTCTTCCAGTCTCACTGAAACACAGTGGGCATTGGGCACCTGACTCCCTTAGGCTTGAATTTTCAAAAAGACTAATGCTAGTATTTGCTGCTTAGCAGATTGCTTAATCATGTTCCAGTTTCATTAAAATGTTTGTTTGTTTTTCCCGTGAATGGTTATGTGACTCCTGTCAAAACTTTCTTTTGGTAGGTTTGCATGGACAATAGCCCAGTGCAGAATCTGCGGCAGTCACATGGGGTGGAAGTTCACAGCTACAAAAAAGGATATGTCACCTCAGAAGTTTTGGGGTTTAACCCGGTCTGCTCTGCTGCCTAGGATTCCAGATATGGAGGATGAATTAGGCCAAGACAGATCTCCAATACTTTGCCTGTAATCTTGTAACCTGCTTTTTGGAATGAACAGGCAGCAGTCAGTGTCTCTTAACTGAATCTGCTCAGTGCTGCTTCCGATGCTTACTTAAACTAAAAAATTTAAAAAAAAGAAAGACACAGAACAGGAAGCACCATTACATTTGGTGGTGTCTTGGCAAGTTACTATGGTGTCCAGATACGTTGGGAACTGATGGTTGACGTTTAAAATTTGACAACTGGGGAGAGAGAAGCGTAGTGTAAGAGACCAGGAGGTATATGTGGTTCTGGGAAGGCCAGCCAGGCACTGAAAGAGATGACTCTGAATCTTGCTTACTGTATTGTATAATTGAAGATGTTCATTGCTATTGAATTAAAGTAAAAGATTTGGAAGAAATAATAAAGATGCTGTTAAGCACTATATGATTTATGTATGATGGTAAACAGCAGCAGTGTTCTTCACTGTGGGATATTTCCCAGTAATACACCTTCCTTAAGTACCTTTTGGTGAAAATCCCTGTTTTGAATCCACATGAAATACTCTCAAGTTTACCTTTGTGCTGCATTCAAAGCCTTTCCAAACAAGCATCAAAGAGTACAAGATCTCAACCTTCATACCGATTGGTGTTGTGTTGGTAATGTCCTCCTATTAGCAGTGCTGCAAATGGCAGACGTCACGTGCTTACTGATACCTGCTGCTAAAGCAACTACTGTATAAATTCCTTTTTCTTTTTTTTTTTTTTTTTTTTT